CAGTGATCACTGGCTTTTGAAATAGCATGTGCTGGGAGCAGAAACTGCTGAGACAGCATCAGAGTGTTCAGACTGGACTGTTCTACTTTCTTGTATGCTTTTGGATAATTAAACAGAATTCTGGAGAAAAGCAGGTCAGGACAGTGTACTTGGGGACAGACTTTGATATGGTTTTGGATTATACTTGCTACTGAATGCAATGAAACAAGTTTGATACTGTCTCTCAATGGGAAGGATTTTTGAAAACAGACTAGTTCTCCTCCCTAGCTGCTGTATCAAATGACATTATGCATCTGTATAGAGAAACACTATCCTTCTGTATGGAAGCAGTAAGTTTGAAAGTATGTTTGTGTTGCAAACAGCAGTTAGTGATCCTCTTACTTCGGTTTAAGAACACCATCCTTCATGAATTAGTGGTATCATTCAAGAAACTAAGTGATTTTTGTTGTGAGAGTTTTAAAATATGACCTTAAATGTGAGGATCCATATGTTATGTTGACTACAGATCTGGACTCTGTGCTAAATGGAACCCATCTGAAATTTTCTTTTTTCACAAGGATGAACATAATTACTTTTTGGACACTGTGGAGGAAGAAATAAAACTGCCAGTTTGCTCACCAAGGGTGGATCAATTAAAACTTTGGGAACTTCTGAGTTGGAACTAGAATCTTCTTTGTTTACTGCAAGCGTTCTGATACTTTCCTCTCTTCTTTTGTGGCAGAGGTGCAAGGGAGAAACCCTCTACTAGTCCCCTAATCTTCAAACGCACATCTTCGATTGAATTATGGTCATACTCACGCAGTGCTCTCAGTTAAATAATCTGGCTTTGGCCTGTGGGATAAACTGCAAAAATCTTATAGGCCTGTAGCTGGCAAGTTCATCTCCCTCTCGCCTCCTCTCCACCCCACTTCCCTATCCCCAATCCTTTTGCTTTTCAGAAAATGATTTGGGAACCAAGTGTTGTGAGACCAAAGTGGTTTACCAGTTGCCACTATTGCCCTTCAGTGCTACAAGCTGCATGATTGATTACTGACAAACAAAACTAATACCACCTTGTACCAACACTTTTGGGCAATCTCTGTCATCCCAGCAAAAGCTGTTCTTTCATGGGCACTTGTCAGAGGGCCATTATGTGGATTACAATCATCTAGTAATGCTTAGTGATACATACTGATTATCAGTATGTAAATAGATTTTTTTTTTTCCTTTAGAATAGTGATGCTGCTTCACTTGCCAATTTTGTTTCCTTGAGTATGTCTCTATTTATATTTAGTAAAATTAACAAGGGATGAAATAAGTGTTGAGGATGTTAATTATGTAATTATATGAGCAAAGAGGGACCATGTAATGGGCAGAGAAGAAAAATGACAAAGACCTTACATGAAGAAATTAAATCTCATCTTAGCTTTTTGATTAAGGTCCTCATTTTTGCTGTTGCCAGTGGTCACTGGTGACCTCAAATGCATGAGTGAAGGAATTTATTTGTTGTCTGCATTTATTTAAGTATGCACAAGTGATATATCTGATATATGTTCATGTTAGTTACTCTTTTTTTACCAGTAGACTAAAATATGAGAGGCAGGATTCTCATCCAGGAAATCATCTGTTTGGAAAGGACTGTAAAGTGAAATGAAAAGGGTCGTATGAACTTTAGTGGTATCTAAGTGGTTTCAGTTTGTGCATTGTTAAAAATCACGCAGTGTCCTTTGGTGCCCTTTTCATCTTGTGTATTTTAATAAAGAAGACTGGTTAGTTTGAAAGGTAGTTCTCAGTATCAGAATTGACTTCTGATCACCCTATCACTTCACAATTCTTTATACATCAGAAGCACTTGAAAGTATATGCACATATTTGTAGGGATTTTTCGTTTCCTCTGGAGAGGTTCAATTCTTTATGCTAGAATTCTTCTTATTGTGAGTTATTTTTATAATCGAATCAAAATTGTGTAAGCTGATACAGCCCCAAGTTACCTTTGTGATCTGCAAAATCCTCAGAATGGCCAAATAGAATAATTTTGTCACTTGTTTGTCATACCAGTTTTGACAATGGGTCATTCCATAGATGTCTAAAATGATCTTTAGCCACATTTTATGAAGCCAGAACTGTAATCCAATAACAATTTTCTGGCTAAGTGCTTCTCAGTTGCCACTGGGGACTAACTGCATCACTGTTGCTGCTCTTAAAATGAGCTTAAGCTGAAAGGACACAAATTTCATAGTTCTTTCCTTATTTTCTTGAGAGTAATCTAAGAAAATAATATTTTAAATAATTGCATTCTGGTTCCTGTGGGACATCAGCATAATTGCATTGAGGATACCTTCATTTTTTTATGCATTTATTTATTAACAAAGAAGTACGTTCCATCTGTAAACAAAACGATTGGTCCAGTGGCACAAAACAATAAAGCAATGAAGCCTCTAGTTCATTAAATTGGAATATAGGGATTGAATTACTAATTTATGTTGGTTTAAATTTCATGTTATAAATTATAAGATTCTAAGATGTAAGGGAAAAATGTTCCCCATGATGCAGGCTACCTACAGTTCCAGCCAGGAAGATTTATATAAGGCTTATTGGAGATGAAGGAAGTAGAGGTACTGAAGACAGACTGAGGTGTGGTTTGTCTGGTACATTAGTGGGCATGTCACAGAAGGCACAAATGAAACAAACAAAAAAACAAAACCCCAAACAAACAAAAATAACCCAAACAAACAAACAAAAACCCAGCAAATCCAAAGCCTTATTTAAACTCAGGATACTCTGGAGGGGTTACTTTTAAATACGGATAGCTTAAAATGCTGGTTTCTGAAACTCCTCAACATGAAGGTCAGGTAACAGAAGAAATGAACAGTGAGAAAGAAAGATGCTTCATAAACCTTAAGTGTTTTCATTTCATTCCTATGTTATCTCTCCTGTCATCCACCCTAGTGTTTTATTCAGTGTAATCTTGTATTGAAAACTTTCTTGTGAATTTCAATCTGCTATTAAATTCCCTCTATTCTGATCATTTTAGTTTAATTTCCGTGTTTAACAGTCTCTGGTGTTGCCTGTAGAAGCAAATATAAAACCCATATAAGACAGTATGTTCTCGTCAGAGTTATTATGTTGACTGGATTCCTACTACTGGGACCTAGTCCTCTGATTTTGGAGATGAAATCTTAACTGGCTCTTATTTCAGCCTTTGAGAGCACAGGCAAGTCACTTTCTGAGAACAGCATGTGCCTCAGCATTGCACTTCTCCAAAAGTTGTGTTCATTTTCTTCTTAAGTAACAGGAAGTTTTTCACACAGTCTGCCCTCAGATTTTCTGGAGAAACACTAGCTGTTTCCTTTTCTTGCATAAAATTGATAATTAATCTAAGCCACCTGTATGGCAATCTGTCACGAATGTTCGGGAATTGACAATTGATTTAATGAATCTGAGATGATGTGATGTCTCCAGTGTTTCTTCAATGGAGCCACATTTACTACAAATTTAAACTGCCTCCCTCCTTCATTTGAGCCTTCTCCTCATCCTCTGTGGGCTTTTGTTTGGAAACCAAATAAGGAGAGCAGGGTATTTTAGTTTTGTCTCTATTCTGTACCACCATTTACCTTTTAAGTGTTTTAAGGAAGCCACTACAGTGACTAGTTTAATATATCTGTGAAATAGCATGTGACATGTTTGTTTTACAGTGTTTCTCAGGTGGAAGATGCAGCTATGATGGGGGTATTTGCCTGCTAAAAGTGTAGTCTTTCTTTGTAGAAAACTTACTCAGTTAATTGATCTACTCATTGAAGTACTTTGAACCACTGTTCATTCTGATACACAGAATAAAAGATCAAGGTTATTCCAGGTTAAAAATTGCACTTGTTTCATAGGAAGGGAGATTTCAGTCTCTTCTGACCACTAGAAGTAGTCTGCTCTGCTCTACCTCAGAGTTGGGCAAAGACTATGAGCCCTCAAGGAAGTCAGCGAGGCACTTTCATGAGTGCCAGCTCTCTGCTCAAAGCAAGGCCAATTTGGATCAGGTTCCTCAGGGTTGGTCCTGTCAAGTTTTCAACATCTCCAGGGGCAGGGATTGCACAATCATTCTGGCCTGCTTGTTAGTGTTTTACTATCCCAATTGTGATATTTTTTTTCTCCTTTTAACAGTATTTAATTGCAGTATTCCTTGTTGCAACTTGATGTCTGCTATCTCTCATCCTGTCATTTGGACATCTCACAGAACAGTCTAGCACACTCAGTAGCTGAAGACTACTTCAGACTGTTTTTGAGACTAGCTGCAGCTGCCTTTGTTTTGGTGAACCTTCTCTGCCTTGAAGAGCTTCAGAATTTTCAAGGAATAGTATGCTGCCTTTAGTTTCTTGGACCTTATTTTTAGCATTTTGTTGAACCTCATCTAAAGTTGATTGAACAGGGGTACACAAATTCTTATACTTTTGTGTAAGAACAAGGTTTTCTATTTCAAGGTCTGCAATGTGGGCACATGTGGCATCTGTATGATGTATAATTTGGATTTGATAATCGTATTCTCAAAAGCTGGTTTGTGAAGGACAGTCGTGCCTTTGCAGGTCATGCTTTTGCTACAAAAACTCATGACACTGAGTGCATTATCTCACCAAACCTGCCTGTATTTCCCTTGAGGCAAAGTCTAAACACCATAAACCTTGATTGTTTCCAAAGGCTCAGAGAGGCCCAGGGGTCCTGAGCTCTAGTTTGCGCTGATTGTCCATAATGTATTTGAAGCTTATCTTTCTATACCTCATTGACTCAGAGTATATAAGTGTTTGCATAATATGAAAACTGTAAATGAAAGAAAGGTGCCAATTATCAAATATGAAACAGATTTCAGTGTGATAAGACATTCACTTTTCATTACAGATCTGGCCTTGCTATTCCTTAATCCTGCCAGGAGGATGATGCTAGGAGGTTTTATGTATACTTGGCTGGACAAGATAATCTTTAAATAAGTTTAATTACTAACTATCTCTTTTGTTGTTTGTGGTTTTTTTTCCTAGTGTTCTCAAGTGGGAGATAATCTGACATGCAAATAATCTACAGCACAGGTAAGTCACACTATTTTACATATTTGAACTTTTTTTACAAAAGTATTGAATTTATTGATGTGAAATTGACAATCTGCAGATCAGGAAAGCAAGGTCTAAGTACTCTAGAAGTACTAGCAAAATGACAGATACAGAGTTGGAGAACGCATCACATAGCTGTAAGTAATTCTAATGCTTTCTCTTGAATCTCTTCATTGAAACACAAGCTTCTGGGTCTGTAAGTCATCCTCACATGCCAGAGAGTTCAACCTGTTGTTTCCTCAGCTACAGTTTTGTGTGTGAATTCCCTTCTCTCTTCTGTGGACATGTACACCCCTACCTTATCCAGTCAGCTATTTTCTGCCATGGGGAAGTGTAAAAGCTGTTCTCTTCCCCTGCCTTCAGAACAAATAAGGGTGTGGATTTGCTCTGTTATTTTAAAGGAGATGTTCCTCTAATTTGGGAGTAATGAGATTAATTACTTGAAAAATAAAGAGCTTTCATTTTTCTTCATTGTGTAATAGATGCTATTTTTCTGAAGTAAATTACTGAATTATATACTTCAGAGATGTGTCTGTGAAGAAACAAGTAGCTGATCATTTTAGAAATTTGAGTTTATATCAAACAACGTGAGTTGATAGACAAATATGTCTTGAGATTTTTTCTCTAACTCTCACTGATTCTTGCCAGAAGCATATTATCAGATTAAGAATATTTTACCATCAGAATAAATTACTGAAAATTTGTGCTGGACTCTGTGCTCCAAGGAGCATCTACTAACATTGGTCAGATGCAGCCCACCTGGGAGAACACTGTTGCTAGCTGCTTATAATTATGTATATAAATCCTCTCATGAGTGTCACATGCAAACCACAGCTCCTGTTATCTTTTCCCTTTCCTTGCATCATCCTTCTTGTCCAACCAATTTCTGACTCTCTCCATTGCTCCTTTGAAGTGGGTTTGCTCTTTTCAGCTCCAGCACAGGCATTTCTGCATATGCAGCTCTCAGCTGCGTTCCACGGGCCTATATTCTAGATGCCTGTGAAGACCAAACAAAGCATTACTGTCTACAGCACAAAGTATATAGGAATACATCTGGAAGAGGGAAATATCAGCTGCCTGATAACAAGGAGGCCACTGTGGATGAAGAACGATTGTAAGAAATTGTGGCTAGAGAAGAAATAATCTGTCTATTTTAAGTTACTCTTTTTTTTTTTTTTAATATTTATTTTGCCCTGACAAATTAGGAGTTTTAAGCCTACTGCTGTGACATTAGTTATTTCTTGTCTGAGGTATTGTATTTAGTATTGTACTGTAGTATTGTGGACAGGCTGTGAAGGGGCTCAACACTGTGGATTTAGTTTTGTAACCATGTAAGTGGACTCTCTGACGAATCACATATTTTGTTTAGGAATAATTTGTTCTTTAACAGTGATCTGTTGGTGACAGGATGGAGTTCAGTTTTCGCAGATGAGGTTCAGGATGGGAGACTGTTCCCCAAGTAGATGACATCTCTGTGCCTTTGCTGTCCCTCAGTCTGCCTGTGTGTTGTCTGCTCTTTCTCTAGGTCACGTACATAGTGTGAGCCCCCTACATCTGTGAGGACTCTGGCAAAGATGGGGTGTTTGTCTCTTAAGCACTGTCACGGATTACATGCTAGCTATGTCTGATCTGTTAGGCTTCAGACTTCTGTTAATCCAGGCAGGGTCCTCTTTTGATCCTCCCATTACTTTTCATGGCAGGTTTCAGGGCATCAGAATTGTTACACAGGTGACTGGACTAGGCATCAATATACAGGTGAAGCACATAAAATAAAAATATTGGTAGCTAAGAACAAAAAATGAAACACAGAGAGGATATTGCAAGCATTACTTTAGAACAAGGGTAAAATTCCTTTCCAGACTGAGTGGCCAATATTAGAGAGATGGAGAAAGAGATTTTAAAGGTTTGGCTTGATATGCATACAATAACAGTTCTTAAAAACTTAAAAGAACAAAGTAATTTGTGCCATAGCACACCTGAAACAGTTTATTTCAGCACACCTGAAACAAGTTGCATCTTCTTTTGTGTTGAGAGTAACATCATAATATTCAGGATCTTTTTTTTCCTGAGAATCTTAAACATAAACACTGTTCTGCACACTTGATTTTTATAAAGTCTGGATTTAAAAGAGATGTGGGGCACTGGCTGTCCTTTTTTTCTATGATGGCATTGGGGGAGTTGTAGTTCTCATTTTAGTTTATTCCTTATAAACGCATACCAGTATAATGTTGTTCAACCAAAAAGCAGCCATTACATTTGTACTATTTAGGTATATTGGACAAGTGGTAATAAAGCAGACAGTAGCAGGTTTTTCTTACATTTTTAAAAACGTATTTGATAGCCTTAGTGTTATTGTCAGAAAAAGCAGCCTTCTGGTTCTATCATTTCTATCAAATGCCACTGCCTTAAACTAACTGGCAGGAGGCTCTTTTCTACTCACCAAGCAGTTTACTAATTCAGATAACTTCTCGGTCATCAAGGGCTCCTTCTTTGGTCACACCAAAATCATTGTGACAGTTCCAGGTAAGAGTATTTGGCAGGGATAGCTCAAGGGTTCATTCTTTTCAGAATGTTTACTTTACCTGACATATCTTTCCTAGGTGCCACAGTGATTAGTCATCTGTACATTATTTAAGGGAAGATAAGGAATACTATTCTCTTCATACAAGAAACAGCTAGGGGGTGTAAAATAAAAATAAATAAATAATGAAACCCCCTCAGCACTGACAATGACATGCTAAGAGAGAATTAAAATAAGTTGCACAACAGCAAAACACTGTGGGCATGTATATTCTAAGTAGGACAGAGAATATTGACTGCCGTTGAGATTGCCTGAAAATTCTCACTTATAAACTACTGTAAACAAGATTTTTTTAAATTTATTTTTAATCTTCACAGACTTTAACTGTTTGGGTTGATACCTTCCATCTTGGGCTTCCTCTTGAGGCAAAATATTTGGAACGATCAAATTGTTTTGGCTGTTTTAGCAAGGAAGTGAACATGTATTGCTCTGTATAAAATTTTGATAACTTCCCCCCCCAATTGAATCTTTTGTTATTTCAAAATACCATCAAAATCTACTGTCAAAGTGTGATCTTCTTTCCTTGAAGTACTGGTTCCTGTTGAGAAAGATGTTATTGCTGCTATATTTCATGAGCTGAAATGTTAGAGGTTGGTACAGTGACTCAAAACATTGCCAGTGATGCTACTGAGCCATGGGCTCATCGGTGGGATTCCATGCTGTGGCATTTGTGGAGAGCTGGATAGCTCTGAATTTTTAGAAACCTGGTAATTTGCAAATAAAAACTGAGATTGCAAGTTGAGAGTTTAAAATCGGGGTGAAATCTGAATAAAGTAAGGACAGCATTCACTTAATGAGCAGTTAAAAGATTTCATTCAAGTATTTAATTCAAATATTTTAAATCCGGTATTTTATTTTTTTCTCTTAAGTGTGTGCCTTCGGGCCATTTTTATTGCATGCTTTTCAAAACTTGCTCCAGAGACAGAATTATTAATTTCCTCCTAGGTTTCTATATAGCACTCAACACTACAGTGCTTCACAAACCATTAATGAAGTTATTTTCACAACACCCCAGTGAAATGAGGAGGAATTATTGTCCTCATTTGACAGATGGAGACTGGGACACAGTAATTCAAGGTTGAAAGTACCTACTAATTTGGGAACCCAGTCTGAGAAATCCTTCTCCGGTCTTTTTCAGAATATGTAACATTAGGTAATAAGCTGAAAGTACAGCTCCCTTTAACTTCAGCTGCGTTTGTGAGTGATCAGCACTTTGAGCAAGGTAGAACCCAGGTTTCAAGTCAGGCATGGAGCGCATGAGGAATATGCAATTGCTGACCGTGTGTAAAAAGCCTGGTTTTAAGAAACCTGTCCTGTATCACATAGACTGTCTTGTAAGCAGGTGTAGACTCCAAACTCTCCAGGGCAACTTTTAAACTACCTTAAGTAGTAGGAGACTCTTTTTTTTCTTTTCTTTTTTTTTTTTTTTTTTTTTTTTTAAATCTTTGTTCCTGCATTCCTTGCTCATTACATAACTGAACCTTAGCAGTGCAGAGGGCAGCCCTTCTCATTACCAGGCAGCAGCCTCCTGCCCTGCGTTGATTCATCCTGCAGACAAGTCCACGCCATGCCTTGTGGAAAACTCAGTTTGTGATGTGTTTACCAAATGTCAAACTCTTGTCCTGTCTTTGATCACAAGCAACTAAAGTCTGAGGTGTATCAATGAAGAGAACTACAGAGTAGTAATGAGATGGCAAGTATGACATAAAATGGCTCTGCATGTTTCTGTAGGCAGATACAGTTTGAACAGTGATGAATACTGCTTAACTGTACTGATCTCCTCCCATTCCCCACCTCTTGTCCCTTGTTTTATACCTAGATCCCAAACATTTTAGGGTAGGGACTACTATGTTTTGCTTGTATAGAACTTAATATAGAGTGATCTTTATAAAGGGTCCTCAGCTGCTCCGATAGAGTCCCTCTGTGTTCACATTACTCATGGTATCATGTGAAAAAAAGAAAAAAAAAATCAGTTTCTCAGCTACTTAATTGAAATATTTGCTATATAGACTGTCCCTGTGGACCTCAGAGGTGGTGGTCACTGACAGTTTCCTATGCATATTGCCCACCTAGAATGTTGTAGGGAGAATTGCAATTTGTTCACTAACTTTTGTTTCTCTTAAGTGAATTTAATGTGTTTTATACTTTTCAATTTACTAAAGTGCTAGTAGTTTATTAAAACAGAACATTAAATTGACCTGTATACCTGTATCACAGGACTGTTGTGAAGATTAATAATTAGATAATGTTTGTAAAGCACTTTTTATAAGTGAAATGTGCTATAAAGTGCTAAGTATTGTTATTGCAGCATGATAGAGATCACAAAACACAAGTGAATTAGCTCTAGGTTTAATCCTTATAAGGCAAAGCATACCAGGGGCAAAATAACATTACAGTT